TTAACTTCCTCACCATTTAGAAATTCTGTGACTGCACAGTCTTTTCCCTCTTTTTGTTTGTAGTTGTCCTCACTTGCCAATTGCTATCTCTGGTCAACATGAAAGATTCTTGTGGCTGAAACTGTTCAGTATCTTCACCATGGTAGTGAATACATAAACCTACACAAGTGACAACATTGTATACAACTTAATTCATGCACACACCAGTGAGTAAAAGTACAACTGGGGAAATCTGAATAAGAGGAATGGATTGTATCAATGCCATTATCTTGGTTGTGATGTTATGCATTAGTTTTACAAAATGTTACAACCATGGGAAACTGAGAAAAATGTAAAAGAAATCTATTATTCTTCACAACTACATGTGAATTGACAATTTTCTCAATTAAAAATATATCACATTAAAACAAACAAAGAAAACATCATCATGTCAAGTATTGCAGTCTATTGAAATCACACAGCAAAAAGCCAAGGAGAAAGTTCTACTGAATACCTTTGAAAGCGCAAAAGAAGTTAATAAGAATACAGTTTCTCCAATGCTCCAACTAACATGGCTAAGCCAGGTGTTGTTTGTGGTTTAATTTGGGGATTTTTTTTTTGCGGGGGGGGAGGGTGGCGAATATTATGTTTCTAAACCAACTAGTACATTTTAAAACATATAAACTGATGCTTTTTGAAGAGACACTTGAAACTAAAATTATGCTTCTTGTTGTTGTTGTTATGTGCCGTCGAGTCGGCCCCGACTCATAGCGACCCCTCCTTGGGTTTCCGAGGCAGTATCACTATGGAAGTAGGATTGCCCAACCTTCCTTCTGAGGAAGGGGACCAGCTTTGCTGGTCTGATAGAGCCTTGCCCGTCAGGTCTGGAATTGAACCCACACCTGTGGCTTCTACCCAAACAAAAGACAGGCATATGAGTTGAACACTTACCTGAGGTAGATACACGATACACTCCTTGGAGAGAACAATCATGGGAGAAGGAAGGGCTGTTTATGCACAGGGAGACAGCTCAGGGGGCAGGAGTGTATGGGAATTATGCTTAGGACCTGGTTTAATCTTACATAATTTCTGCTATGTAGCATTAGTAACTAGGGTATATCAAGCACTAAAATTCTTTGTATAAGCCAAACAACAAAACACTCAGAATCCTGAGTGCTGTGACAAGCTCCTTACTTCCATGCCCAGATGGCATCCTGCCCTGATGTGACGCTGTCTTCCAATTACTGGCCCCAGGTGACCAATGCCCCAAGAAAATAGACTTGTCTTATTATGTATGTACAAAAAGTGAATATAACCATTGCATTAACTGTTTGCTAGAGCCAAAACAAAACAACAGCAACAACAAAACCTACTGCTATTGAGTCAATTGCAACTCAGAGTGACCCTACAGGTAGAACTGCCCTATAGGGTTTCCAAGGTTGTAAATTTTTACAGTAGCAGACTGCCACATCTTTCTCCCACAGAGCGGCTGGTGAGTTTGAACTGCTGATGTTTTGGTAGACAGCCAAGTGCTTTAACCACTGCGCCACCAGGGCTCCTTGCCACCTCCAAATGTTCGTTAAAAACCCACACCTAATTCCTTTTACTTTCAGTGATTATGAGGATTCTTCTCTCCAGGTTTATATAACACATTGCACATTATGTGCATGGCCTATTTCTGCTATTGCCAAGAAGAGAATTATTTTTTACATAAAAAAAAAAAAAAAAAAGAATTGATAGGGCTGCATCAATCTTCCTTCTTTTCTTGGTTCTTAGATTTCCTTAAATGATGGCATCATGTTCATCAATGGTTCTATACCAAATGCCTCCTCTGGAATAGTATGTTTTACATCCAATGTAAAGAACAGATAAAACTCCCACTGTTAATACAATTCCACCAACAAAGCTGCCAATATCAAATGTTGATCCTTTATTTCCTTTAGGATTTATAGTTTCTATGATTGTTACTAATGAAGAAACAGATGCCACGGAACTTTTGCAGGTGACGGTCACTGCGGATGTTGGTATCTCAGATAGGCTTTGTGAAATACTTGTTGTTTTGGGGGTAGGCTTCACGGTGGTAGAAATCATATTTGCTGCCATCTTTGATGTTGCTGTCAGTTTCAAAGTGCTAACTGTCACATTGCTTGAGACTGAGGAAACTGGAGTTGTTGATAGTTTCACAGTGTTGCTGGAGTCGTTTATGTGGTTGGGAAGCACCTGTGGACTACTCCCTGCTGAGTTGGAGTTCTGTAGAAGCAAAGAATTGTTTTTATTTGTAGAGGGATCCAAGCCAGAGTACCTGCAACGCCCCCAGGAGCAGCGCAGCCTGGGCTCGGTGCAGGCGGAGTCTCCTTGTTCCGAGGGCAGGACTCAGCAGCCCTGTGAGTTGCGAACCCAGGTGTGGCTTTGAGAGCGGCTCCTCCAGTTTCCAGGCTCCCGCTCTGCATCCCCTTCTTCCGCACATGACTTCCCTCTCGCTGCCCATCCCCTGGATGACCAAATAGGATACAGAGAGCTGGGCCTGGAAGGGGGCATCACACGCTGAGCCTAGGTGGTGGGTGAAGGTCTCTTTTATAATGAGATCTGTCATCAGGGAAAGATTACCATAAACCTGACTTTGTTTATCAGATTAGTGGTTATCAGCAGCCTTAAAGAAAGGGGTCAAAGGACAAAGGGCAGGAGAGATTTTAATCACCAACACAGGGCTCTGGAAGCTTGAGGGCAGCAGGTGCTGCTCAGGGAAACCAGACAGCAAGTGGAAGCCAGGCACCACAGGGTACTGGGTACGGCAGAGACAGTGAGGATCAAGGACAAAGGGCAACTTTTGGATTTGCCTAGGGCTAAGGAGCTCTGGTAGCATAGTGCCTAAAGCACTTGACTGCTAACCAGGAGGCTGGCGGTTCAAACCCACCAGCCACTCCTCAGAA